TCATCGAAGGGTACCGTGGCTGAATTTATTCTAAAAAAAGGCACGGCCGGACAAAAAGTTCGGGAACCGCTGGTGTATACACTAACTAGACTGTATAGACATGTAAATTGCACACGGATAGAGTCGCGGGTAATACAACTAGTACAATTATAAAAAAAACCGTCCTGCAGAAGTATTTCCCTCGGCAGTCTACTGGACTGTTGGGCGACGATCCCGTACTTTCAAAGAATACATCAAATAACATAGATGACTACGGGATTCGGATCTAGTCTATCATCCAACTCTATGTTTGACTACCGTTATACTTCGCCCGTAACGGCGAACGGGACGAGTGGTTAACGCGAAAAAAAAAACCGACCTCTTTATAAACATTTTACCAAACCATTTTCCAATTCCGAACTCATCGGGCGAGGTTTGAACTGTTGTACGGTTTCTATTATTTAACATTATTGTCTTGCCCCGGTATTCTTCTTACATTAGAGTTTCGGCCGGCACACAGAATTCTTTTCTTAACTCGCAGTTGCTTATCCGTGAACCGCGGATATTGCTTTTTCTTTTCTGACGTCCGTTACACGTGTAGCTCTTTCTTTTTTTTTTTCGTTTCCGGACCGGAGGATAATTTTTCGGGATTTGCGTGATCCTTATTACTACACTACGATTGACGCGTGATTAGGCTTTATACGGCCGCCTGCCCCCCCCCCCCCCCCCCCGCGGTATTTCGCCCACCGGCAGACGGTATCTTTCAAAACCGGGACACCGTGTAAATTGAAATACAACCGTTTTATATTATCCCTGTGGCCCGGCAAGTGTTTCCTTTTTCTACATTGAATGGTCCGACAGCTAATTTCAAACGTATTTATATATATATATATTATATACTGTTGAGTTTCAATTTGCTCGTCTCAACACAGAATCCACTTAAATTATGCGGTTTACTACATTTCTGACATAAATAACAAGAATACTACACATTGGTGTTCATTCCGAACGTAAGACTCGATATACGCGTTTTTACAGACGGTTTTTGTTTTCTCTTACACTCGGACACATTCGTATTTAAACGGACTGAACCGAATAATAACATTGCCAATGTAGGCGCTGTAGTGTACTTATGCGTTTAGAGGACACCGTCACACCCGCATGTGCTGTCTTCGAATTAAAACCAACCGTGTTAGAACTTTTAATATAAAATAAAAGTGTATTAACACGTTATCGTATAACTTGAAGATAAAAACATTATTTTATACGACTAAGTCTGTTTTTTTCTCGGTATTTCGATTCGCATGCGTGATACAAGCATTTTTGAATTGCGATATTTCACACATTCATATTATAATATGACATTATAAAAATTAAAATATCGAAAAAAAAAAAAAAAAAGCGCATGCAATGTTCTTATTCTCAAGTCTTTTAATATAATATGTTTGCCAGTTCACTTTAACGTCAAATCTAACGGAAAAGCGAAATTGTTCCTGCTGAACGAAAATGGGTTACGTCGCGCATACACGTAAGACGATGACAGCGTGCATACGCGTGTGTGTCGTCCTCATCTTGATCTTTAAAAGAAACCCGATCTTTTTCAATAAAAAAATATCAATAAACGGGTACCTAACGATGAACATTCAAAGCACGTTTGCGCATCTGTATATTGTTTGTAACTCGAATCGAATTAAATAAGGACAAAAATTAAACAACTGTGTTCATCGTGAGCATTTTTAATATAGACACCTAGGTTATTCCTCGTATAGCAATAATTATTGTTTTAAAGGTCAAAACCATAGTATATAATTGTCGGGTGATTGTTTTTTATTGTTATCTGCTACGTGAAGACCTCGATTATAACGTTATGATGCGTGTACGACAAGACATGGCATTTAAACAATTCTACACCAGAAATTAAAATATTTTAAAATAGATAGTAAATATCATATTTACATTCACTACGCACATACACTTACGCGTTATTGAAGGATAAAATTCAGTTAACTCTAATTTTATATTAATATTAGTACAGTATATTGTCTCTTGACAATTATTTAAGAGTAACTATATACTTTACACCTAGATATAAATGCATAACACTATTGATAATTAAACACATTGTAATAATGTGTCGATATATCGATTGTTGAAGAATAAAATATAACCCATGAGAAAAAAAAAGGCCAACCAAACGAAAAGATGACGATCATATACTTTCTAAAAAACAAACTGTCTCAAAAATGCATTGATATCGACATTTGCCTGACGTTTTTATTATCTCAGTTTCTTTTCTTCCATTTCGGTATATTTCCCTCTAGAATTCTTACATTTTTCCTTTATTCTTATACCCGTTTCGTCACAAAATCTCTAATAATTACCGATAATATAGAATAGCGTCGAATTCTTCAGCAAATGCAAAAGTGTGTGCACTAATTATTCAAGTATGATTGCATTGTACAAATAGAAACGTTTCTAACAGGTATCCATATACTACATAAGGACAATGTGAATACTCCTTGCAGCATAATATCGTATATATAATACGGCGTACTTAACACCATAATGAGATATTTATAAAATAATTTTATTAACGGTTTAAAATGTACCCGTATATTATAGCGGGGATATTTAGTGATGTACATTTTCGTGGAAATTTTCAAAAATTTTAAAACTACGAAAATTGTATAATGTGTACTATGTACTCGTTTTGCTATTTAACCGTTTTAATATTACTTTGGCGTTATTCTACTGATCATAATATAGGAAATCCAAAATATAAATACATTTATCACGGTAATAAATGTGTATTTTTATTTATAATCAAAAATGTTGTCATTTTTCTTCGGTATAGATGTTGAGTTGTTTGGTGCGTTAATATTTTTTTTTTTTAATTATATTGATTGTCATTTCCAAAATTTTACACTAGGTAACTACTTTTTTATGACTGATTATTAGTTATTAATTATTATCATAATTACATTGTATCTGGTTTTAACACCAGACCACAAGTCTAACTGTTTATGAATTATAATTGATAAATATGTTTTATTTAACATGCAGATAGGTAAATTTTGATATTAGCATATATTTACAGCCGTTTAATTCATATTGAAATAATAAACATTTATTTCAACTTTATAACAAATTTTGAAAAAATAATAATAACAAGATTATACTTTCTGGTTACATTAATTACACTATCCCATTTCCAGTAATTACAGGTATAACGAACTCGGTTCCGTAACGCGCGCAATGAAATAGGAATTTTTTAATTTTTTAGCCGCTGTCCAATGTAAAAATTATCAATCGTCAAAACACTCATATCTCAAACGATAACAGACATAAACTCATAACAGTGCCTACATAATCGTTGTTTTTATGTACTTATATCGTTTATATTTGATTAAAGCATTGCTAACGAACAATATAAATAGCTGCGGTGCTGCGATATCGACCGAACGACATGAAAAATTAATTATGTTAAGAAAATTACGCTGAAACTAAAATGTTCGAATATTTCAAATGTTCAGAGGAAGTGGAACATTTTAATGACAAAAAAAAATCCCGGCCACGCCACTGATAATATCGATGATGTTGACGTGCCTAGGTTAATATTGTTTACATTATTATTTGTACGGTTGGTTGAACAAAACGACAGGCGAATAATACAAACACAACGTAGAAACAGTTGGATTGCGAAAATAGTAATAATGTACGATATTAGCGAAAAAATAAATGAAATGTAATATGATAATATTATAAATTGAATCCGGTGTCGTTTCGGTGGATACTCGTCTCGTTGTAAATCCGAACAGAATAACAATAATAATTGTATTGCCGTGTTGATTTCGGAAAAACGACGGGTTTTTCGTTAAAAACTTGATGCCTGCCGTCTTCGTCGTCGTATCCCGCCTCGTTATTATTATTTTTTTTTTTTTGTACATAAATCAGTAGTTTCTTTTTCTACGCCGCGCAGTTTCTTCGCGACGTAAAAAAAAAAAAAAAATCAAAAAATATTGTTATATTATAATAACAAACTTCAATCTAAAATATTCGGTTCAAAAAAAAAAAAAAAAAACGAACGCGAATCGTATGATGAAATAAAATATTTAGATTTATTTTGCTTCTTTTCACATAATATCCAATACCGCACAATATAATATTATCTCTCTGCGGATTTTTATTCGCATTTTCTCGTGGCTCCGCAGCCGAACCGTTATACGATATTATACATGCTCGCGACAAAAACTTTATACCAGAGAGACGAATAATAATAATAATAATAATAGTAAAAAAAATAAAATATATATATATATATATAAATATTTTTTTTTTTTTTTTTAAATAATCACGCGGCGGCTTCGGCCGTGTGCGTATTGTTTTTTACGTGACGCAAAAGTACAATAGGTGCGCCGCGCAGTGTCATTGTTATTTCAGATCCATACCTATCTATAATAATAATAATAATAATAAAGAGGACACGTGGTCGCGTGATTTGAATTCATTATTTAGTCGAGTTTTTCTTTTTTTTTTTCTTCCTCCGTTCTTCTCGGCGTGGTCGTCTCGATAATCTGTATCGGCGTTTAACGTTGGGCCGGGACGCCGACGAGGGTTCAGGACCTTTCGGCGACAAAGGTTAAAACTACAGTGGTACGGTGTAACATATTACAGTGTTATTATTTTCGTTGGTCATTTTCGTGTAGAAAATAACACGTGATTGGTAACGGAATTATGTGACGCGTCGTCATATTGTTAATACGTCGGTTACCGTCGCACAAGCCGTGCCATCTCTCCGCACCGAAACTACGAAGTGGAATACATTTTTAACCGCCCTGCATGATATATCGTTACCGATTTATTGATCAACTCAATGGTTGCAAACATTTTTGAAATCAGTCTTTGGTTATTTAATCGCCACTTATTTTTTTTTTATATATATACAATAAATTGCATTACGATATCGTATACTAAAATAACCCGTGAAAAAAAAAAAAAAACAAATGAACGTACGCAGTAACATGGGATTTTCGCCCGCGTCGCCAAACATAGCCGAAAAATCCGGTACGCTCCCGTTGAGCCGGTCGATGACGCGGATACGGGGCGAACGGCGACGAATACGCGGGTTTTTGTAAAAGGCGGTGTAAAGTCGCCGGGTGACGGGACGGACGGTGGGCCGGTGACGCCGCTAAGGAAAACGCTCGTCCGTCTCGAACCCTCCGGATGTTTTTGGCAGTCCGCCGCGTTTTCCAATGAAAATCTGAAGGACCGTCGGGTTTTTAGAAATCAACGAGCCGATACGCTTGCCCGCGCGCCACGCGATTTCACGGGACCAAACGGTGGTGCGCCTGATTGCGTCACGGCGTCATTGTACAGCGACGCATTACCGTTGTTTTATGAACAGTTTATTCGGCTGGCGATCAAAACGTTATCCGGTTCGAATACATACCGCAACCTGTACGCGGTCCTGTTGTAACAACGATGTTAATTGCCGTACACGCGCCGCCGCGGTAATTCCTTTCGGACCTCTCTACTTGACCGGTGTTGTTATACACAACATGACGGTAACAACAATAATCGGTTACGAAAAGAGTTACGGGGGGGTGGGGTGTGTGTGTGTGTGTGTGTGTGTGTGTGTGTGTGTGTAAAATCGGCAAAAATATGCGCGGACGAAAAAAAAAACAAGATTTATGTAAAACGGTTTATTAAACGGATGAATTGTCCATTACCCCGTACGTAATACGAAAAATTATAATAAAAATACATTCGTGTAATCGGACTTTCTTTAGAGTTTAATTCAGTTCTTAAATCTCGATTTTATGCTAAAACCAAAAATAAATGTATACATTTTGTAAACCGTTTTTTTTGTTTTTTTTTCTCTCTCTCTATCTCGTGATCATAAACATTTCGCTGCTTAACCGATGTTTTTATTTTTATTATTTTATTTTTTTTAACATTTTCTATATATGAACGCTGGCCGCCGACTGTCGGCCAATACGTTTTTGTGAACGTTATTGTCGCGTATCGCGTATTATTAGTAAAATGTTAAATCATTTTCAAATATTCCGATGCAATGTTTTAACATTTTTAATATTACACCGAATCCATAATAATTTCTCATTCACGTTGTTTTTTTTAAAACGCACGAAATATTTAATAGGTACGTAATCATTTTTTGTTGAAAATCGTTAAATTATGCAAAAATACGCGAACAAAATATATGCATAAACTTTGGGGCTTTGTAGTGTGGCCCACGTTCGTATCTTGGTTTGCGATAAAATTTGAGACTTAGACGAAAAACACGCGAGTCCCATAACTTCTCATCGCCAATATTAACAGTATGGCGTTCAAATACCGATTTTAAAACCGACTGCGCCAGAACAGTGTGTGGTTTCGCCGTCGGTAGCATCGCGTGAACTTTTTCAAAGGTCAAAGCAAATGTTATAGGCGCGTCAAAAAAAAAAAAAAAAAAAAAAAAAACAATATAAATACTAACCGAAAAACACAATGCACACTTAAACAATGAAAACCGGGAGACGACTACCCACGTCGCGTCCATCACTCCCGAGAACCGTTCCCTGTTTACCGGTACCGGTTTCAGACACGCGCGAGTGTGCGAACCGTACGGTACGATGTGACGCGTTTAAAAACGCGTATACGCACTAACATCAACGCGTCGTTTTGCGAGTACACTGGGTGGGTGGGCGGGGAAACGGACGAACGGACGAACGGACGAACGAACGAACGAACGGACGGACGAACGCTCGTATGTTTTCCGTTACGTTACCGGTCCGGAACCGTGTCGGGACTCCGGATAACAGCGGTACGCGTGGATAATGACAGTGGAACGGTACGCGGCAATCGGCGGTTTTCGCTTACGGTTTACGGAAACAAGCGCATCCGTTTTGCGCGTTTTCGTTGCGCGCCGCGTGCGTTGTCCGCGTCGTCATCGCGTGTGCGCGTACGAAGCCAACGTCTCGCGCGGCGTCCGCGACGCGTTTTCGGACGATGCGTCCGCGACGCGCACAACGCCGCGTACCTGGTGCGCCGGGCGAGACGGTTCGCCGGGCGTGCGCGTCGTTCCGTTTTGTCGGTTGGGTGCCGCGTGCGTTCCTCGAACGCGGAACTCCGGAATCCCCGAGCGCGGCCCGGGCCGGCCGGCATTTCCGGACGCTCTCGGGTCTTTCGGCCGTGACGTTTCGGCGGCGTCCCGCGGCTCCGGTCCACTCCGGTGTCCCGAACACCGAGAACCTCTTTGTCGAATATCCCGCAAACGGACGGAGCGTTGCGCGGAATACGTTTCGGCGTCGACGTGTTTCCGCATCCCCCTCAAACCGTTAACGGGATATTCCGCCCTCGAGTATTGGTTGGTACGGGGAAGGAGGGGGGGGGGGCGAGAGACTGTTGTAATGGAGTGTGTAATCATTTGTGTGGCGGCCAACGCGCGCGACGTTTCATTAGCGTTCCGCTACACTCGCCCCCTACCGACACCTGAAAGTGACGGGCCAACGGGCCAGGTGTGTTGTGGAAAATCTACGAGTATTCGAAAATATCGGATTTGACCAGGCCCGAAGATTTCAAATGCCTGGACTTGGATACACCTATGCGAAATCCAACCGAAACAACGGGGCGAGCAGGCTTAGCGAACCACTCTGTAAATAAACAATAAAAAGTTGATACTGCCCACGGGTAGGCCACCGTGTCGCGCCAGCGGGTAGACGGGAGTGCAGGACTATACCGGGCAATTCTGTTTGAATTACGCCGACAAATCGCTGCGAACTAGCAAAAAATGATTCTGAACGGAGTGCTATAGCGTAGTGTTTGTTTTTCGGTCCCGTGATTTCGTGTAAATCGACAATAAAACCGATGTATCGATTTTTGTGTTGGCTGTTCAAACTGTATAAAAAACACTGTCGGGAATCTAGACGTTTTTTTTTTTTTTGAAACAATGTTTGCCGAGAAAAGTAAACCAAAAAATAGTTATATAATTCGTATCTGTGTACGCAACGACAAACCAATGCTAATCAATTTACGACAATTTTTAGGATTTTCGTCAAAATTCGATCTTAAAAAGATATATTAATAAAAAAAAGCTTTTTTTAAACCTCTTGTAGTATAACTGGTAATGAACTTTATATTCAACTTTCAAGCATTACTGTTCAGCCGAATAATTGTATATCATCTATTACAACCTCGTCAACACACAGACTAGGGTCATAAGTTCAACAAAAAAGATCTCTCGTCAGTTTTTGATTGGAGCTTTAAATTTTTGGTAAAAAATTAGCTCGCAGACAGAAACAAAAAAATAAATAAAAACGAAAAAACCAACAAGTTAAAATGCACACGTAATACAGTAAAACTAATACATTCCTCGATTTTCTCAGAATCGAACTTTTTCGATATCGTTTTAAAAGACTACATTTTTTTTTTTTTTTGATTTCCCAGTCGAAAATCTCAATTCGCACATTCTCCCCCCCCCTCCCCGCCAACATACAAGGAATTTCTGGGGGGAGGAAATTTCGTCTGCAGAGAAATAATAATATTATCAATCCCTCGTCCGGTAACTATGTTGAAACTTTTTCTTTTTTTTGTACTCTGCAGACATGGCACCGGGCCAACATATCTTTTTTACAAAGACGGTATATTATTTGTTTTGCTGTACGCGTTATTATCGTTATAGTTTTGTAAAAGACGAAAAATGAAAAATCCTAGTCATGTCACGACACCGCCGCCGGTGAAGTTAATTTAATTGCGTTATATACTTTCGGAAAGGAAACAAAAAATAACAGTATAATAATGTCGGTGTATATATATGTGTGTGTGTGTGTGTGTGTGTGTGTGTGTGTGTGTAGTGTAGAACGTCAAACGTGCGATGATAGTGGAACAGAAGGAAAAAAAACACACACGCTGTACCCACACACACGCGCGCACACACGCGCACACACACGCGCACACACACGTGCACACACACGCGCACACACACACACACACACACACATATATATATATATATATTATTTAATATTATATTACTCGTATATGAAAATAAAAACGCCCGCAGCGAACGGTACTCGACGAAATTACGCGTCAACCGTGTTCGGTTATTATTTTCATTATTATTATTATATTAACAGCTGCAGTTGTTGGCAATGATGTTCAACAACAATTTTGTTTTTTCTTCTTTTTCTTTACGGTAATATATATATATATATTAGGTACATACAAAAATGACTGACGACGCGAACTCGCGACGAACGGCGTTATTAAATTTTCATCGTGCAGAAATTAGAATGTAACGTTAAAACAATGACGGGATTGTGTTTCGTTCCCCCTGAGAACGTTGCGCGCAGCTAACCGGTCCCGTGGAAAATCCTCGAGAGTCGGTTTTACGAGATTTCACACGGAAAACCGAGAAACTCGACGACAGGCATTAAATATTATGTACCGGTTTCGAATTTTTCATTTTTTGCATTTTGTTACCACTATGGATGTCGCTAATATTGTCTGTTTGATGCTATTTTCAGAAAAAAAAAAATTTTTTTTTTTTTTTCGGCTTTTAGATACATAAATATTTAACTTTTGGATTTTCGAAAAATTCGACTTGCGGGGCTTACGACAATAGTAAATATATATATATATATATACATATAGGTATACCCGAAATCAACTTACGAGATTCTAATCGTTTCTCTGCTGCTCGCGTATCCATTTAAAAGTAGAAAAAAAAAAAAAATCAAATTTTTGACTTACTATAGTGTAGGTTTTGCCACGTAACCGACGCAGTTGGTGCTCATTTAAACGTAATTTACTCTCTCCCTCTCTCTCTCTATATATATATATATACATAGGATTAAATCGTATAACAACGGTAAAAATATGTAAATCGCGGCGACGAAAACTTTGCGGACCCTAAATGCGGTGCTCAGGAACAACGTTATACGCATTTTAATCCTTTCGAATAGGTTTTAAAACAATTACAAACAATAGTTTGATGTGCCTAGTCCTGCAGGTGCGATGGATTGTGGAGTATTAACCGTGCTAGCTAATAATCCTAAAAACCCTAGATCCGTTCGAGGCCACAGCTGTGAAAAACATTAGCAATGGCAGGGAAATGGTCAAAGATTTCTGTTCGATCAATCTAATTCGGAATTATTATTTTCGGGGGAAAAAAATGTGTTCGATAAATGTGTGGATTTCCAGCCTCTAAAACGAAACGTGTTCTATTAACGCTCTAAATTTGCGTTAGATTGCCAACATCACTTTTCCATTTTCGACACTGAAGTAGGTGGTAATTTTTCAATACATTTTTTCAAACTCTTAAGAAATAATATACACCACATTGTTTTTTTTTTACTTAGCTATCGTGTAGGCCGCACCATTCAATGGCACTAGCAAACAACACAGCAAGTTTACAGTTAGTGCAGTTTATTCCTACTATTTTTCAACGGCACTAGTGATACGTGCTAAATACCACTAGTAAGCGATTACAGGACAACGATGGGTTTTTTTTTTTCATTTTTTGTCGTATGAATCAAATTTATTGTATTTTAAATATAACGATAAACAAATGTTTAAATTAAATTAGCAATTCGGAAAAAAAAATCGACTAATCTTATTCACATAAAAATGCAACTCCAGACGATGAGACTTTTTTTTTTTTTAACGTTTTAACCGAAAAAGCTTTTCCGGGAACATAGGGACGCTGTCGGTGTAAAATCGTTAAGTCCGCAGGAAATACTAATTCTTAATTCTAGGAACCTCGAGAAAAGAAACGCTTTGTTTAAATAATTATTACAGATTTTTAAATATCACTCTAAAAGTTAAACAATAAAAAGCAGTCGTTAAAACATATACGCGCACTTGAGTAGGCGGCATATAAATCAATTTGTAATTTCGAATCTTCTATCGTTTCGACAATAAACTCATTAACGAATCGAATAATTAAAATATATAATTAACACCCGCGAAGGAAGAGATGCAGCGATATTATAATGCTTAAAAAAAAAAAAAAATAGTTTTATAACAAGATACGAGATCCGGATAATACAATCAAGTAGAAACATTAATTTAGAAGCGGAATGAAAATTAAAGTCAAAATTTACGAGTTCATGGCATGTCTTAGACAAGCGATATAATGGACTGTAATTTCGGTTACCGGGGAGGGGAGGGGGCATAAAAACATAATATATTTCCAGAGTTAAAAGCAAGGATTTCAGATCAATTTGAAATAAGAACTCCGGACAATCATATCGGTGTATACTAAGAATATATTGTTATTGTATATTAATATTATTATAAAACTAATAGATATACGCCGCTTGTAATGCGCAAGTTCTAAAAAAATATGACAAATTGAACAATACATTACGAACATGATATCAGTCAGTTTTAGATTCCGATTGGAACCAATAGGTTTTACTAAGATGTGTTTTTTTTTTTTTTGTGTAAACAATTTTAATACCGTTTCAAATGAGAAAGTTTATGAAGACCTTTCTTGTAGCTTTTTATCTAAACGGTGCATTGTAGAAGAAATATTTTTGATTTTCTTTGTAGTTTCATTTATAAATGGGAAAAAATGGCAGTCCTTTTTTTTTTTTGTGAAATTTTTATTGATTTCCGGGTTCCATTGGCAATAAGAGAGATTAATATTAATTAACATTAATAATATTCTACTCGGAACCCCGTTGTTCGCTAACAACGGTTTATCGTTATGTACACATGAAAATTAGATACGGTAAGGTGTCTAATCGAAATCGGTATATCTTGATTTCGATCGCTCGTACAGACTTTTTCGGAATTTTTTTTTTTTTTTTTTTTGACACTATAACAAAAATAAAAAAAACAGCTCTCAAAATTATTGTTGGATTGTCATTTTTTTTTGGTCACGTCTCTATTTTCGGAGGTGTAACATTTTAAACGGCCATCTGTGTTTAAAATTCCGCAGACAGGCGGAATATTAATTTAAATACATTTTGATGTTGACATTTTCGATTTCCGTTGACCCATCGATGAGATATTGCACCTTTAAGTTCGGGTTTCGGGTGAGTATATAGCGGAGCGCTGTTCAAACGTTACGCGTCGTGCCGTCACACATACAATATTATAGCCGACAACATAATTACGGACAGAGTAGTCCAGAGAATTGCGTTTTGATTATAAAAAAAAAAAAACAAAAAAAACCAAAAAGCGTATCACGTATTTACGATCAGTATATTTTATAGCGCCATTCGAGCGTTTATTATACGAGGGTTGAACATATTTAGTCATCCGTGTGATTCCAACGTGTCAATATTAATAGGCGATATCGAATAGAAAACATTTCGAAAGTCCGCATTTATTTTTTTCTCGCACGTCAGACCTCGCTCCTCGTAAAATAGGTGTACCAACTATTTGAAAATATCGAAAAATGTTTTTTTCGCGAAAAAAACCCATTTATCCGCAACAGATTACCTATATCGAACATGTCTGAAAAAATACTTACAATTTGGTAGAGGTACCGTATATAACTCATGTAACTCTATATTAGATTGAACATCAAAGTAAATTGAACACTATATTAATGCAGGTTTGAATGAACAATGCATTTTTTTTTTTTTTTTTTTTTTTATTCAGAAATACGTACTACTTACAATATTACTGGAGCAGACAGAAATACGTATTTGCATATTCGTATTGGTCGGTCAAAATATCGGTGTCTCGTTAATACCAAAATGTTGTTTCATGGCCCAACGAGTTTATAGGCAAAATTTTATATTGTATGTTTTGGCTTTTTAGGATTTTTAGGCAGCATTTCAAAGATTCGGTACACTTTATGATTTCGTAAATTTTAAGACATTTTCAACTCGATGAATCGAGCATCATAAAATAATTTTAAAATATCAGCATTCAGCAGGCGAGCTAATAATGTTAAATTACTCGTTTGAAAATATCTCTTGAGTAACTGATCAATGATAATATACTATAGGTACCAAAGGCTGAACGTTCGTTTTCTCGGACACAAAAATTTGTTAGCAGACAATTGACGATCACTTTTGTTTGAGAACATATTATTTCAACCATTATCCGTTCAATCCAACAACATCGGGTAAGAATTAAAATGTCGATCGTTAAAAAGTAATTTTTGTTATCGTTTTTATAACAGGTAGTTAAAATACATTTTGGAATTTTAATTTCTAATTTTTTTTTAAGAGCATTATTTCGGTAATTTTTAAAGACATAACTGCATACATATTTACCAGGTTTTTAGGGCGTGTTTTTGTCTATCCTGATTATTACATTTATAAATTATTTTGCTGCTGTCAGTATAAGGAAGAGCGTTACACATATGTATAATATTATCAATATGAATTATATGCAGTAGGTAACAGAAAATTAATTCTATATGTTACATGTTACAATGTTGAAATATATAATGCGTAATAAAATTATTTGATTTCATGTTGATAGGAATAATATTTCATAAAACGTTAGTAAAAATGAGTTGGTTTTTGTTGAGGTTAAAAATAAAATATTATGAAACTGTACATAGGTACGATGATCAAACCAGGTGCGTCTTCAAGTCCATAGTCCCATAGTGTGAACGAAATTTAAAAAAAATTCTCGTTAAAGGTTAACGGCCATAAAGAGCTAACTAATGTAATATTGTAATTTTTTTTGTATGACAAATTTTTTAAAAAAAATCTACGTATAGCCTTCAACAAAAATCGGCTCTTTAAACGTCAATTCGACCTAAACGCCACGGTTTACGTTTTAAGTACAAGAGAAAAAGCGTTACAGGCAAACAGACGGATCTGTAAAAAAATAATTTATTATTGAGGGGACACGGGCAGTGACCATTTTTTATCATTTGTATATTTTCGTTAAACACGGTACTAATACTAACGGACCTAATAATAACGCCATTCCGAAATACGACGTGGGCACCGCGCCCGATTCACAAGATAAAT